ATAAATTCCATCTTTTCCACTATAATTTTCTTCAATTATATAACCCTTAAATCTCAAAGATCCACAAACATTCTTGGAAACAGCAGTTTCAGTCAATATTACTGGTAGCGAAGGGTTATGTGAGAAGAAAGTTTTTTATTCTTATAATTTCACATTTTTAAAATTGCCCAAATTCTCAATGACGCTGGGCAATGTACAAATTGAAAACCAAAGAAACAGAACAACAATAGTCAACAGAAAAGCAAGATAGTCACCCTGGTGGAACAGACATAAGAATCCCTCACAAAAAGAATCCACATTTTGTCCTAGCCTAAAGCCTGGGGGAAAAGCCTGTTTTCTGGGTCCCATCAGATGACATCGTTTAATGAACAGGACCCAGAGCATGCTGACTCCATTTAAACTTATACGATGGACAGAAAAAAAGGGATGGTCCCTCAAATAACTAACCTGATGCCATACAGAGCTTTGTAGATGATAACTAGACTTTACATTACACTCATATGTATATCAGTAACCAGTGTAGGTTGCACATTGTGTTGGTGATAATTTTCACTTTGTGTAACTTGCACAGAATAATACTTCTGAGAACAAAGACAATGAATGTAATTTAATAGTTCGTCTAAGATATATGGTAATGCACGCTTGTGAATAAGAATGGAAAGCAGAGGAATAATGACCCGTATATATGCATGTATGCACATATATATGTATGTTTGTATTTATAATACACCTTCCTCTTCCTATTTTCCCCACAACAAAAACCCTGGCTAAGGTGGGACTTCAACTCATGATCTGTTGCTTTCTAGTCTGAAACTGGCTCTCATATATGACTCTACATGTTTTTTCCCTCTCCTTTCCTACTCAAAAGGTGATGGGGAAGGGCACAGAATTCTACCCAGAATTTTTTTTAAAAAAAGTTTCATTCTCTATCTCTCTTCTTTCTGATTTGCAGATTACTAAACAGGAAGACAAAACCAAGACAAGTCAAACTTCTTGGACACGTGGGAACTTTTTCAATTTTGGAAATGTGATAGAAAACCTTCCCATTCCAACACTCCACAGAAGCATGTCACAGGCATCCTCGTAAGTGGATGTCATATCTCACCCATTCAAAAAACGATTGCCATGGTGATCAACAACAATCACAGAATAATCATTTATGAAAAAGTATTGATGTAATATTCCTCAGTCTTGGAGTTTGAAGGTTCTGCACAGTGTCTTAGCTGTTCCCAGCACTGCACTCTTCTTATTTATTTATTTATTTATTAAATTTATATACCGCCCTATCTCCCTTGCGGGATTCAGGGCGGTGAACAGGCGATACTAAAAACCACAATAATAAATAAATAGTTTGTTTTAAAATCGAATTAAATAACAGGCCTGTTCTAAAAACACACCCGTAACCCCCCCCCCTGAAACATAATCAAACTACGCCAGGCCGGCCGCACGGAATAGATGGGCCTTCAGGGCTCGGCGAAAAAGGCGCAGGTCCGCAACTGTACGTAGGTCGGGGGGTAGGTCATTCCAGAGGGCAGGAGGTGCCACAGAGAAGGCTCTCCCCCTTGGGGTCGCCAGCCGGCATTGTCTGGCCGACGGCACTCTAAGGAGGCCCTCTCTGTGGGAGCGGACTGGTCGAAGGGAGGTGTTTGGTAGGAGGCGGTCTTGCAAATCTCTCTTCTGCAGAGAGAGATCTGATGTTGTTCCTGGGATCTATTGGAGCCACTCTCCCAGCTTAAGAGTTACAGCCCCAGCTGCTCCTACCAACACTGGGACCACTTTGGCCTTTACTTTTCACATCCTCTCTAGCTCCTGGTACGTTTCCAGCTTCTCATACTCTTTCCAGATGTTGCTGTCATTTGGCACTGCTATATCTAGCACCACCATTGTCTTCTGGTCCTTGTCTATTAACACGATGTCTGGTTGATTGGCTAGTCACTTCTTGCCATTTTACACCCTGCCACTAATGTGTTGGAGAGTCTTTGAGGCCTTTCTGCTGTTTGCCCTCTGGGTCCTGTCTGGTATGGTAGACCCCTGCTTCTATGGATCTGGTGCTTAATGTCAGGTGTAGGAAATCAGAAGCCAGATTAGAGTTCAAAAGCACTACAAGTTTATTTCATGCTACATTCACTAGAATCCGATTGAGGCAAATTGGTGCCAGCTAAGAGTCAACAGGCTTCATGGGGGGGCTGGACTTAGGTTTTTTATGGGACGTAGCAACTCCAAAATGATGTGGTGTTTGACCCCACCCCCAAGCTCAGCCTGGTCATTTTTACACTTAGTGCCTGTTCTTCTACTGCTATGATCAGTATCTAAGTGCTGTCTTTTAGTCCAGACCTTTCCAGCCACGGGTAGAATTTCCCAATGTCTGCCACCTCAGCCATCTGACAATGGTATACCTCACCCAGGATCTTATTTTGCAATGGCACTTTGATCTTTTCCATGTCTGCAGGCATTCTTTTAGCAGCTCATCTTTAGCTGCCATTTTATTGATGCACACCTGCTTGCTCTGTATTTCGTCCAGGACAAAGGGTTTAACACTAACAGACTCTGTCTGCTCTCTTTCCGGTTGGTGTACAGTCTCTGAGTTTGGACATGAGGTAAAATCTCTGTACATTGTGAAGAGCTCTCTTCTAGCATCTAGTCATATTTCTCCAGTCCAAATGACATCCTGATGTTCTCACTGTATATCCATATTGGGTAAATCAGTGAATGAATGTCTTGTTCACTCTTAGCATAGAATTTGATGTCATTCATATAGAGGAGATGGCTGATGGTAGTTCTACTCTTTAACTTGTATCCATATCCGATCCTTAAATATCTAAAACTACAAACCATCTTAAAAATAAAATAAAATTTAGGTGGGGCAGGAAATCCAAGTTGCTAAATGCTGCTAAACATGCTGGTATCCATAAGCACCTTGCATTCTAAGATTTGAGTACACGAGCAAGAATAGGATTTTCTCTATTTCTTCTCTCTCTAAAATTGGGAAACAATTGGAAGAAAAAAGCAGAAGTTGCTCTCTGATGAGCACACTTCTGTGCCACTCTGCATAGATGATTTTGGCTGCAAAGTACAAGACAGAAAATGTCATTTTCATTTCTTTGATGATGCTATCTGTTCAATTGTGTCGGATTCTTCGCAATTCTATGGATGAGCGCTCTCTATTTTTTCTGATTTGAAAGGCTTCTTTCAGTTGTTTTATGTTCTGGCTGGTGTCGGCTTTTATACCGTCTAGCCACTGTGATTATTTGGCAGCTTCGTTTTCTTTTATCATAGAACATTCTGAACATAATGCCTTTTCCAGAGAGTTTGAGCACATAACAGGGTGGAATTTTGTAATTTTGCCTTCCAGTGATATGTCTGATTTTATATGCTTCAGTACTTGCTTGCTTGTCACCTTTGTTGTCCAATGAATTTGCAGAAACCCTCTCTAACATCATTGCTTGAACAAGTTGATTTTCCTCTGTCCAGTTCCTCTGTCCAGTAGACCATTCCATGGTCCAGTAGACCATTCCATGGTCCAAATTCATAACTGTAAATAAATATGGGAAACACAATAATGCAGACTAATCAGGATTTAGTTGCAAAGCCAATGTCCTTGCTTTTCTATACTCTATGCTCACAATTGCTGTGTGATCCAGTGCAATTGACGGTTTATTTTTGGACTGCATTCACTGCTTTTAATCAATCTACGTTCCTAGAAAAAGAGGATTCTTACAGGCATTCAATCTCTTTGCCATCAATTGTTATTTTGACATTTTCATTCCTGGCAGTGATTATAAGGTTGGGATTTTTTTTTATGTTCAGGAAGAGGCCACATTTCTCACTTTTTTTCTTTAATCCTTTTGAACCAATGTTTTAGGCCTTTTTTTTGTTTTCCAAGAGGAGAGTTGTGTCATCAGCATACTGAAGATTGTTGATGTTCCTTTCCCCAATCTTTATTCTGATTTTTGATTCTTCAAGTTCCAGCTTCCTCATGATCACTTCAGCATATAGGTTGAATAAAAAAGGGGGGAAGAATGCAACCTTGCTGCACTCCTTTCTCTATTTTGAACCAATCAGTGTCTCCACATGCACAGTGGCTTTGTAGGGAGCAACTGCACCAACTTAACCAGATGTGTCGACATTCCCAGGTCTTCTAGAGCTCTCCGTGGCTTTTCATGATAGACACACTCAAAAGCTTTCTTGTAAAAGCAGATGTAGGTGTTTTGGGGTTTTTTTGGATATTTTTCTGTGATTCAGTGCAGATTTGCTACCATGTACCAGTACTGTGACTCCTTCTGAAGGCAATTTGAACACCTGGTAATTTCCTTTAAATGGTCAGCACCAAATATTGTTGTCTGAGAATCTTGACAGCGTGACGGATGAGGGCAATTGTGCAGTAATTGAAGCAATTCTTAAGAGTCACCCTTTTTCACAACAGAACGAACAATGATATTTCCAAACCTGTAGCTATGTATTTATTTCTCAGATTTTCTGTCACATGACTGTGGGTAGTACAGGCCTTGGCAATTCTGCAGGGATGATATCAACAGCTGGGACCTTGTTGTTTGGCAATTGACTCATTGCCCACATCTTACGGAAGGATGGCTGGTTCTATTTCTGTTTTCCTTTCCTCAGCCTTGAGGAGGCTGGGCCTCTTCGTTGCTCTTCTGTATATTCTTGGCACCGGTTCTTGATACCTTGTGGATCAGATAGTTCTGTCCCTCGCTTGTTTTTGATGATGCTTTTATGAGCAGTAAATGATGTTTGTAATTTTTTGAGTTGCACAAATGCATTCCTGGGTTGGCCCTTCATGCAGCCCTCTTTTTATCTGCTTGCAATGCTAGTCCCGGTAAACTTTGTTGCCTTTCTTGGCTGCTCTTTGGAAATGTGCTGTCAATCTCCTTGCTTCCTCCTGTTTGCCTGCTGTTTTGGTTGGGTTTTTTCCCCCCCCACCGGTTCCTTAGTCCCTTAAAACAGAACTTATTTCAAAAGAAGCAGTCAGTATCAGAACTTACCCACAATTCTTGAGAATGTAAGAGGCCATTTTCAGAATCTCTTTGATTATGCTCATCCCATCCGTTCCTCCTTCCAGGGCACTGAGATCCTCAAACCTATAAACCAAAGACACATCTAAAAACCAGGCCATATCCTGGCTTTCCAGACAACATACTACTTCCAAGGGCAAAGCATACTACTTCCAAGGGCAAAGGCAAACATGTCATTAGATTTGGTCATTAGGAACGAGAATGGAAATTCCTGGTACTGAATTTTTACTGGAAAACCTAGGGGCTTTCCAGTTGATTATTTTGGAGATGATAATCATTTACTGTGTTACTGAGACCACTGAGACCACAGAAAAAAATTACAGCAATACCAGCTTTCAATTTTAACTAAACGAATGTGCCTAATTTATCCTTACTATTTTATATGGAAATGCTATAGGGGAGAGGTTCCCCCCCCGCCTGTGGCCCACTACTGGGCCATGGCCCATTCGTAGCCAGGCTGTGGAAGTGGTGGGTGAGCGTACGCAAAGCCCCATTTGTGCGAACGGCAGGTGTGCCTGCCTGCCACTCATGCAAATGGAGCTGTGCATGCTTGCCTGCCCACTTGTGTGGAGCCATCCCCTCTCCCTCCCCCACCAGTCTGCAAAGCCAGAAAGGTTGGGCACTTCCTATTAGGCAAACTAGGCATGATAAAAAAAAGGTCCATTAATTTAAATACCTATCTTTGAATCACGCTGAAGATAGTGTTGGTTTGATTTTTTCCAGTAAAAGAGATGAACAAGTCATAAATGGAGGACCTGATCATGCTTCTCTCCAAACTGAGCACTTTGCTCTAGGCATGAGACTAAATAAGAACTAAATAAGACTAAATAAGGCCTCATGGGGACTGACTAAGGAGAGATAAACTGAAATCTATTATTTGTCTAATATTACAACGAGAGAATTATAAAGTCCTTTGATGAATTATTTACGGTGTCAATAACAGCAGATCCTTTAGCCAAAAAGAACTCAAAATCCTAGAATGCTTTGTTTAACCTAATAGTTAACTGAAAGGTTAACTGAAATATTTCTAGTTTCCTAGAGTCTGAAACAGACTTTTTTTCAGTCCTAAATCTCCATGTTAATAGATTTTGAAAAGAACCAAAAGGACAGCAAAGGACACTCATAAAAGAAATCTCACTTCATTTTTCAATTGCTAATAGCAGACATAAGCTGTCTGGATTATGATATCAAAGGAAGGGTTTTTTTTTTTTTTAGAAAAACTTTCTATGCAATTTTCTCCTTACAAATTCTCTTTGCCATGGTATTAAAAAATCCAATTATCTATATGGAATCTAAAATCAGGAGGCGTCTGCTAGCACTTTTTCAGATTAACCAAATTTATTAAAAAGCATAAGCTTTTGTTGAGACTTTCTGAGATGAAAATAAATGTGTTCGCCTGAAAAAGCGCTTTAGAGTCCTTCTGATTTTTTTTGGCTAAAATCGACTAATACAACTTTCTTTCTACAATGTCTATTCTTCCTCCCGTGCAGAAAATAACATTGTCAGAGGAAGGGAAAACATAGCTGAATTCAGACTGGGGGGGGGGGGGGAGATTGCAGTTGCCATTATATCCTTAAAAATTGTAAGAGACTGTATTAATGCCAGGGCTTTCAACATCACAGTCTTTGGCTTTAAAAGTTGCAGCAAAGGGAAAAACAAAACACAATGTGGAAAATAAAGAAAAGATGAATCTACCAGAGAATTTCTGCCGCCAAGCCACTCATATCTTCATGAAAAATGTAAGGTGGATTACTGATGATAGTATCTGCCAAACCCCAAGGCTGTAGGCATTCCCAAGAACCTGCAATGAAGAAAGCATGAAAACACTTTTTAGACATTCAAAGTAATAGGCAAGCATTTATTCTTTTATTTTAAAACTTCACAGGTGCCCATGAAAAAGAGCTTTTAACATTCTTTTGAATTTTAAGCAATTTGATTCTAAGCATAATCCTAGGTAGAGTCTATTTCAAGAACTGGAATCCAATAAGAAAAAAAAAATTGTGACAGGATTATTTTCATTTTCTTATTGAAAAGAAATACGTATCCAAAAGAAAATTGGAAAATATAATGGAACAGCTGTAGTTGGTTGAATTGAAAAGAGAATATATGTAAAGTATGTTAATTTTACAAATCATAACAATAAAGATTACAATGTATGGGTGAATTTCCATATAAGCCGCACAAATTATTTGATAATCCATTCCTCTGGATTCAGTCCTTAAAACGATGAAGTAGCCATAGCTCCATCAATACTTGGGAAAAACTTTTGCTTCAGGAGGGTCTTCAAGTGAAATTGAATGCATTCAAACATAGATTAGACTTTAATCAGCAGAATTAGACTTGATAGCCTACATCGCTCCCTCCATTTCCACTGATAGCCCTCTGTTATCCACTTAGAAGAAGGAGATGGGTGGCTAAGAAGTATGAAATATAAAAAGAACAATACCTTTGATTTACACACATATCTCACTTATCACCTTATGATTAATTTTAACAGGGGTCTCAATCATAGTAAGTTAACATTTTTGATTGCACAATAACTCATTGCACAGATCTCCATAGCACTGAATTCTATGTTATTCTCCATAGCACTGGTTTTATGATATCTATAACAATAAGAAGCTGTAGAAAATCATTTACAAGGAGAACATGAAACATTTAACATTTAAAATGTTCATAAAGCCTAAAGCCACTAGGCATCCAAAAGATAACGCTAGGTAAAAAGGGAATGGGGATTTCCAGAAATTAAGGGTGGATTGAAAAGGCCCTCTGTTATCCATTTAGAAGAAGGAGATGGGTGGCTAAGAAGTATGAAATATAAGAAAGAAAGAAAGAAAGAAAGAAAGAAAGAAAGAAAGAAAGAAAGAAAGAAAGAGAAAGAAAGAAGAGGAATTTGTTAATGCACATGTAGGTTGATGTGGAAGATGATATTAATAATAATAATAATAATAATTTAATTTATATACCGCCCTTCTCCCGTAGGACTCAGGGCGGTGCACAGCATATTAAAACAGATACAAACAAAATACATCAAAAAACAAAAAAACCCCATAAAACCAAATTAAAAGCCAAATATTGGAAGCTGTGTGTCAATTAAAATTTTCTTAAAATCATCCCTACCTAAAATC